CGAGCGAAAAGCGACGTTCTTTGCAGGAGGACAGGCTGCTTGGACAAAGTTCTTGGAGGGTTTGATTATGGTGGAGGATGATAGCGGCGTGGAGAAAGTTTTCAAGCGAGCTGGTTACGAGAAGGACAGGAAGCGAAGATAAAGTTAGTGTTCTCGAACGAGGAAACAAAAGAGGATATCCGATCCAGAGCGAGCAAGCTTCTGGGATAAGGAATACGGGGATATTTTCCAGCAGAGGGACAGAGCAAGGGAAGAGAGAGTGAGGGGAACAGAAGCAAGAAAGAGACGCAAGGAGAAGAAAGGGACTGGGGGAACATAGTTCTTAATCAGTATATTTAGAATATCTCTAGTAACCTCAGAGGGGAGTGGGGATCCCTCCACCAGCAGGCCAGCAGCCCCAGTAAGGAGTGTAACAGAAACCAAGCATCATCCACCCCCCCCACGACCCTTCTCCCCCCCTCCCTCAATCGCCTGCACCTCCCCAAACATTAGAGACCTCCAAACTATGCCCACTCTGTTCCCCACCACAGGACCACCATGTTCCCCCACCCCCATGCCCTTATTCCCCCTCCCCATGCCCTTCCCTGTTACCCAACCCCCATCCCTCCGTCCCTATCCCCACCCCATCCCCACCTTCCCCCTCACATGACCTCATTGACTCGTAATCCCAAACCCTCTCAGCCCCTCCATACTTGATCCTCCTTGTAAATTCCATCAGTCCCCCTTCCTAGACCCTCCACGCCCTCCCATCCCAGACCCGCCCTACCCCCCTATTCCAGGGTCATCAAAGGACAGAGACTGGACAGAAGAAAGTCAGCTTCAGAGTAATGTACTCAAACATAAATGGTATTACAATATAACAAACTTAGGGAAAGAGCACAAGAGGAGAACCGGGATGTAAAAGGACTCACAGAAACAAAACTGTCAGGAATCATAACCAATGGGGTGTTTCCCCAGGACTACACTAATAAGGAAAGAAAGAGAAGGGAAGTAGGAGGAAGAGGAGGAGGAGTGGCTCTATTGATGAGAATGGAATGAAGTTTCGAGGTGATGGTTGTTCCAGGCAGCGAGCAGCGCCTCTACCTGTATCTCAGCAGCACTAACTGCAGCAGTAGCACAAGAGGAAGCAGCAGCTCTAACAGCAGCAGTAGCACAAGAGGCACCCCCAGCAGTATCACCACCACCAGCACCAGCACCAGCAGGAAGACCAGCAGCACCAGCAGCACCAGCAGCACCAGCAGCAGCAGCAGCACCAGCAGGAAGACCAGCAGCAGCAGCAACACCAGCAGCAGTAGCACCAGAAGCAGCAGCAGCAGCAGCAGCTGGAGACGGACCGTAAAGGATGAGTCCAATTTTTGCGCCCTAGTATCTCATCATAAATTGTGAAGCCTGCATTAAACTGCGCCTATAAATATGGCGGCGGATGAATTGCTGGCGACTGCCTCCTTCCCCCTCCCGGCCCCCCCTCCCCGCCATCCCCCGCCATCCCCCACCATCCCCCACCATCCCCCGCCGCCATCCTCCACCATCCCCCGCCATCCCCCGCCATCCCCCACTATCCCCCGCCATCCCCCGCCATCCCCCACTATCCCCCGCCATCCCCCACCATCCCCCGCCATCCTCCGCCATCCCCCGCCATCCCCCGCCTGATCCAACAAGTGCTATATAAATAAGGTAGACATTCTACAAGTAAAAGTTCTCATGAGAAATATTCTGCCAAGCTTCACATGTACTTCTCCGTTCACCTCAATTACTCTCAATAATATTGTGGCAGTGTTGGTAAAAGTGGTTTATGGGTTCACCGTCTCCAGTGCCTTTGTCACCACACACAAGGTTCACACAAGTGCCCCCGGTAAGTGGCTCACGTTTTCTCTTGAATAGCAGTCCCATTTTCTCTCGACGCTCGACTCGTTTTCTGTTGGTGCCTGGTCCGTTTTCTCTTTGTGTTTGACACATTTTCTCTTGGTATTTAACGTGATTTTTGGATTGTGCTTAGCCCGTTTTCTCTTAGTGCTTAGCCCGTTTTCTCTTAGTGCTTAGCCTGTTTTCTCTTAGTGCTTAGCCCGTTTTCTCTTAGTGCTTAGCCCGTTTTCTCTTAGTGCTTAGCCTGTTTTCTCTTAGTGCTTAGCCCGTTTTCTTTGGAACCTTTTACCCATTTTCTTTCAAAGTATGGGCCAATTTATTTGAAAGCGTAGCCCATTTTCTGTCATGCCATAACCTTTCATGAAGAGTTTACCTGTTTTATCTCGTGGTATGTACTCACCTATTTGTACTCACCTATTTGTGCTTATCCTCCCGCTCTGTGCTGTGCACCTCAACATCAGTCGAGGACCACAAAGATCACAAGTGCCACTTGTCAGTGACACTTGTGTTAACACTTTATAACTCCGCAGTGTTTACCTGATGCCCCTAAGTTTACCGAATGCCTCTTAAGTTTACCTAATGCCCCTAAGTTTACCTGATGCATCTAAGTTCTTTAGAACTGGACAATGAGTCATCCATATATACTCCTTTATGTGTTCCAGTTGAGGATGTGTGTAAACAATTACTGGCGTCACATGTCATCTATAGTTGTGCCTCAGTGTGTGTTGTGAACAACCATAGAAGACGTAGTGTTATGAAGCAATAGATGGCGTAATGTTACCCATACGTACAAGACGCAATGTTGCACAGTTTTAGATGACGTAATTTTCCCCGCCCATAGATGATATATTATTATAATTATGTTGAGGTAATATTGCAGAACAATAGATGACGTATTGTTGCAAAACCATTTATGATATAATGTTGCACGACTATAGAGCACGTAGTGTAGAAGCCCCCCCCCCCTGTGGGAGCCCCCCCTGTGGGAGCCCCCCTGTGGGAGCCCCCCCCCTGTGGGAGCCCCCTCCCCTGTGGGAGCCCCCCCCCCTGTGGGAGCCCCCCCTGTGGGAGCCCCCTCCCCTGTGGGAGCCCCCTCCCCTGTGGGAGCCCCCTCCCCTGTGGGAGGAGTTGTGGCCGTGTTAACTGACGAGTTTTATGGGGTTACGACCGAAATATGAATTTCATCAATATTCTCTTAATTTTCCCGCCATCAGTGAATAATGTTGCAGGTTGTTCTCTCTCTCTCTCTCTCTCTCTCTCTCTCTCTCTCTCTCTCTCTCTCTCTCTCTCTCTCTCTCTCTCTCTCTCTCTCTCTCTCTCTCTCTCTCTCTCTCTCTCTCTCTCTCTCTCTCTCTCTCTCTCTCTCTCCTCTCTCTCTCTCTCTCTCTCTCTCCTCTCTCTCTCTCTCTCTCTCTCTCTCTCTCTCTCTCTCTCCTCTCTCTCTCTCTCTCTCTCTCTCTCTCTCTCTCTCTCTCTCTCTCTCTCTCCTTCCCTCTCATATATAGAGACAATAACCCCTCACACATCCGATCTGACACCTTAAGGTGATATATTTGTGCTGAATTTATGGACTGGTGAGGACCGCTTGCCCATCACATCTTCAGATGATAAATGGGAAGGTTGTCATACCCTTTTCCACCCTCTTCCCTCCGTCCCTCCCTTGTTATTCCTATCCCACCTTCCCCCCTCTTCACACCCCTACTATCCTTCCCTCTCATCCTATTGTTGGTGTGGATGTTGACGGTGGCTGTGTGTGGCTTGCTGCTTTCAGTAATGAGATATATCGCCGCCTTAAGGTACAGACAAGAAGCTCTGACCTATTGGCTCTCCACTCGAGGGGAACTGCTGGCTACAGGTTCCTTGAAGCCCTCAGCAACAATACACACAAACGTGAATGATGTATTTTCTGTATTTTGGTTTTCTAAAGACTTTTTAACTTTATGTTTTTGTTTCTTTCATTACCGACGTGTCTACGGACAGGCTGGAACGCGTCTCTGTTTTCTACGTAAAGTGTATAACTGAGTCTACTTTATCATATAACGACCGGAAGTGACTTGCCACCAATATTACATCCTCTTTTGAAACTCGTCAAAATAACACTTAAGACAAAGTTGCAGAGAGGACGTCACAGACAGACTAGGAGACAGACAGACGGAACAGGAAACAGACAGACACACTAGGAGACAGACAGACGGACTAGGAGACAGACAGACGGACCAGAAGACAGACAGACGGACTAGGAGACAGACAGACGGACTAGGAGACAGATAGACGGACCAGAAGACAGACAGACGGACCAGAAGACAGACAGACGGACCAGAAGACAGACAGACGGACCAGAAGACAGACAGACGGACCAGAAGACAGACAGACGGACTAGGAGACAGACAGACGGACCAGAAGACAGACAGACGGACTAGGAGACAGACAGACGGACTAGGAGACAGACAGACGGACTAGGAGACAGACAGACGGACCAGAAGACAGACAGACGGACTAGGAGACAGACAGACACACTAGGAGACAGACAGACGGACCAGAAGACAGACAGACGGATTAGGAGACAGACAGACGGACTAGGAGACAGACAGACGGACTAGGAGACAGACAGACGGACTAGGAGACAGACAGACGGACCAGAAGACAGACAGACGGACTAGGAGACAGACAGACACACTAGGAGACAGACAGACGGACCAGAAGACAGACAGACGGACTAGGAGACAGACAGACGGACTAGGAGACAGACAGACGGACCAGAAGACAGACAGACGGACTAGGAGACAGACAGACGGACTAGGAGACAGATAGACGGACCAGAAGACAGACAGACGGACTAGAAGACAGACAGACGGACTAGGAGACAGACAGACGGACCAGAAGACAGACAGACGGACTAGGAGACAGACAGACGGACCAGAAGACAGACAGACGGACCAGAAGACATACAGACGGACCAGAAGACAGACAGACGGACTAGGAGACAGACAGACGGACTAGGAGACAGACAGACGGAGAATTAGTCAGGTACAACAGCCTAACAGCAGGAGACAAAGGCTTCCACCACGCTGAGTTAAGACTTGTTAGAGCAAGACAACCAGATCAAGGAGCTGTCAGGGAGGCAAGGGAGAAATTACGTGTTGATATTTCTGCTGGGTAGATGTAGACACTTTCTGCTGGGTAGATGTAGACACTTTCTGCTGGGTAGATGTAGACACTTTCTGCTGGGTAGATGTAGACACTTTCTGCTGGGTAGATGTAGACACTTTCTGCTGGGTAGATGTAGACCCTTTCTGCTGGGTAGATGTAGACACTTTCTGCTGGGTAGATGTAGACCCTTTCTGCTGGGTAGATGTAGACACTTTCTGCTGGGTAGATGTAGACCCTTTCTGCTGGGTAGATGTAGACACTTTCTGCTGGGTGGATGTAGACACTTTCTGCTGGGTAGATGTAGACACTTTCTGCTGGGTGGATGTAGACACTTTCTGCTGGGTAGATGTAGACACTTTCTGCTGGGTGGATGTAGACACTTTCTGCTGGGTAGATGTAGACACTTTCTGCTGGGTGGATGTAGACACTTTCTGCTGGGTAGATGTAGACACTTTCTGCTGGGTAGAAGTAGACACTTTCTGCTGGGTAGAAGTAGACACTTTCTGCTGGGTAGATGTAGACACTTTCTGCTGGGTAGATGGAGACACTTTCTGCTGGGTAGATGTAGACCCTTTCTGCTGGGTAGATGTAGACCCTTTCTGCTGGGTAGATGGAGACACTTTCTGCTGGGTAGATGTAGACACTTTCTGCTGGGTAGATGTAGACACTTTCTGCTGGGTAGATGTAGACACTTTCTGCTGGGTAGATGTAGACACTTTCTGCTGGGTAGATGTAGGCACTTTCTGCTGGGTAGATGTAGGCACTTTCTGCTGGGTAGATATAGACACTTTCTGCTGGGTAGATGTAGACACTTTCTGCTGGGTAGATGTAGACACTTTCTGCTGGGTAGATGTAGACACTTTCTGCTGGGTAGAAGTAGACACAACTTATATTTCTGCTGGGTAGATGTATATACAAGTGGGACGTGTAACATCCTCCGAATCATTTGATATAGATTAGTAACAACAAGGGGATTAGCCAGTCACCAGCATGACTGACACTGTCGTTATCTCTGACAGGATACCTGATCAACCAGGCTGTGACTCATACGTCAGGCTGCGAGCAGTCGCGTCCAACAGCCTGGTTGATCAGTCCAGCAACCAGGAGGCCTGGTCAACGACCGGGCCGCGGGGACGCTAAGCCCCGGAAGCACCTCAAGGTAACCTCAAGGTATCTCTCGTGTGCTGGACCAGACATGGCCTGGCGCCAGATTCACGAAAGCACTTACGCAAACACTTACGAACCTGTCCATCTTTTCTCAATCTTTGGCGGCTTTGTTTCCAATTATTAAACAGTTAATGAGCTCCGAAGCACCAGGAGGCTGTTTATAACAATAACAACAGTTGATTGGCAAGTTTTCACGCTTGTAAACTGTTTAATAAATGTAACCAAAGCCGTCAAAGATTGAGGAAAGATGGACACGTTCGTAAGTACTTGCGTAAGTGCTTTCGTGAATCTGCCCCCTGGTCTGTGCTGGTGGCTGTGTGAGGCGAGGGTTCACACGCTGTGTGCTACTACCCGGGGTGTCCCTCTGAACACACAGGTCTCATGCATAACCTGTTCTGCTGTTCTACTGTTATGCTGAGTACTGTTCTGTTATCACAGTTGTGTCTGATGTTCATATTACTGAGGCCGGAACAGCGAGGGTGGTAACCGGTTCTTTATCTACGCAGGGAATTTAGTTCACAGTAGCGGGGATGGTGCAGGAGTACTGTGCTGCCTCAGACAGTTCACAGTAGCGGGGACGGTGCAGGAGTATAGTGCTGCCTCAGACAGTTCACAGTAGCGGGGACGGTGCAGGAGTACTGTGCTGCCTCAGACAGTTCACAGTAGCGGGGATGGTGCAGGAGTACTGTGCTGCCTCAGACAGTTCACAGTAGCGGGGACGGTGCAGGAGTACTGTGCTGCCTCAGACAGTTCACAGTAGCGGGGATGGTGCAGGAGTACTGTGCTGCCTCAGACAGTTCACAGTAGCGGGGATGGTGCAGGAGTACTGTGCTGCCTCAGACAGTTCACAGTAGCGGGGATGGTGCAGGAGTACTGTGCTGCCTCAGACAGTTCACAGTAGCGGGGATGGTGCAGGAGTACTGCGCTGCCTCAGACAGTTCACAGTAGCGGGGATGGTGCAGGAGTACAGTGCTGCCTCAGACAGTTCACAGTAGCGGGGACGGTGCAGGAGTATAGTGCTGCCTCAGACAGTTCACAGTAGCGGGGACGGTGCAGGAGTACAGTGCTGCCTCACACAGTTCACAGTAGCGGGGATGGTGCAGGAGTACTGTGCTGCCTCAGACAGTTCACAGTAGCGGGGATGGTGCAGGAGTACTGTGCTGCCTCAGACAGTTCACAGTAGCGGGGATGGTGCAGGAGCACTGTGCTGCCTCAGACAGTTCACAGTAGCGGGGATGGTGCAGGAGTATAGTGCTGCCTCAGACAGTTCACAGTAGCGGGGATGGTGCAGGAGTATAGTGCTGCCTCAGACAGTTCACAGTAGCGGGGATGGTGCAGGAGTACTGTGCTGCCTCAGACAGTTCACAGTAGCGGGGATGGTGCAGGAGTACTGTGCTGCCTCAGACAGTTCACAGTAGCGGGGACGGTGCAGGAGTACTGTGCTGCCTCAGACAGTTCACAGTAGCGGGGACGGTGCATGAGTACTGTGCTGCCTCAGACAGTTCACAGTAGCGGGGACGGTGCAGGAGTATAGTGCTGCCTCAGACAGTTCACAGTAGCGGGGACGGTGCAGGAGTACTGTGCTGCCTCAGACAGTTCACAGTAGCGGGGACGGTGCAGGAGTACTGTGCTGCCTCAGACAGTTCACAGTAGCGGGGACGGTGCAGGAGTACTGTGCTGCCTCAAGAGAGCTTCCCTTAACAATAAAGCTCAACACAAATTGGAGAACTCAGAGATATGCTCAAATGTGTGAGACAAACACAATACAAACCTACAAATCTTATATTGAATCTCTACCTTTGAAAGTCACTACAATAACAAACCCAAAAATAATATATATGATTAAAATGCTCAATATTTGTAATCGTAAAAACAATAACAATAATGTATAGAGTCAAAACTTTTCCCCAAGAACGGGTTGATTAAAACAAAACTCAGATTCTTTGATAAAAGAAAATTGAAATTCGTCCATAAATTGTGTGTTTTTGTTGTGTTTTCAGTCTCTTTCCAGTGTTCTTACAGGTATCGATATGTTCCACATATTATCGTCCAGGCAGCTCCTCGTAAAGTGAACGGATCGAGCGAAACAAAGAGAGATGTTCCCAGAAAGCAACAACACCAGACGTCAAGTATATGCAGTGGAAAAAAATTCAAATTATTCTGTATGAATATTCAAACACTCGCCTGATAAGTGACATTGTCCAGTGAGTGGAACATTTATACCGTTTGTTGTCGTTAGTACTTGTGTGTGTGTGTGTTGTGTGTGTGTGTGTGTGTGTGCGTGTGTGTGTGTGTGCGTGTGCGTGTGCGTGTGCGTGTGTGTGTGTGTGTGTGTGCGTGTGTGTGTGTGTGTGTGTGTGTGTGTGTGTGTGTGTGTGTGTGTGTGTGTGTGTGGGTGTGTGTGTGTGTGTGTGTGTGTGTGTGTGTGTGTGTGTGTGTGTGTGTGTGTGTGTGTGTGTGTGTGTGTGTGTGTGTGTGTGTGTGTGTGTGTATGTGTGTGTGGGTGTGTACTCACCTATTTGTGCCTGCAGGATCGAGCATTGGCTCTTGGATCCCGACTTTCTAGGCATCGGTTGTTTACAGCAATGACTCCTGTCCCGTTTCCCTATCATATCTAGTTTTATAATTATGAATAAAGTTTGCTTCCACAACCTGCTCCTGAAGTGCATTCCATTTTCCCACAACTCTCACGCTAAAGGAAAACTTCCTAACATCCCTGTGACTCATCTGAGTTTCCAGTTTCCACCCATGTCCCCTCGTTCTGATACTATTACATGTGAACATTTCGTCTATTTCCAGTACTTCAATTCCCCTGAGTATTTTATACGTTCCTATCATGTCCCCCCCCTCTCTTCTTATTTCTAGTGTTGTAAGGTTCAATTCATTCAGGCGCTTTTCATATCCCATCCCTCGTAACTCTGGGACGAGCCCCGACGCAAACTTCTTAACCGTTTCCAGTTTCCTTATGTGTTTCTTCAGATAGGGACTCCATGATGGCGCGGCATTCTCTAAGATTGGTCTCACGTAGGCAGTGTAAAGCGCCCTAAATGCCTCCTCACTTAGGTTTCTGAATGATGTTCTGCTTGAAGCTTCACTACTACTCCAGAGTGCCAGACCTGACCAGCGGCTCCTGCTGTGTCTAGAGCAACAACACAACTCATCTTGGACTCATCCTGGTACACACAGAAATCACAATAGCATCAAATGAACAAATCCACACATGCCCTTGTGGAGTTGTTCATTTGATGCATCACGCTATTGTGGTTGCTGTGTGTATTGAAGTAAGGTAGAAGAGGTAGAACATTTGGTTGACATAGCCCGGGTGCACGGGGGGGGGGGGGGGTGTAAAACCCCGGTCTGTGCTTCAGAGAAGCTGCGGGAGCCTTGTGAGGGAATTAGCACTCCTGGTTGCTATTCTTTTACCATGTCGTGGTGCAGTCGACTAAAGCGCGTCTGGGATCATGCCGGACGTAAGTTCGAACCCTCATCACGGCCCTTGTGGATTTGCTCGTCTCATCCTGATCTCTCTCTGCCTCTCTCTCTCTCTCTCTCTCTCTCTCTCTCTCTCTCTCTCTCTCTCTCTCTCTCTCTCTCTCTCTCTCTCTCTCTCTCTCTCTCTCTCTCTCACCAACACAAGTACCCAACAAATAGCTGTCGCCGACGGAATAGTAAGAGAAGAGACGGGAGGGTGGCGGGGGAGGTCTGATACATCTCCCCGCCGGCTCTGGGGACTGTTCCCTAGCCAGAAGGAAACTCTACGCCCATATATATACTTCCTCATATTCCGGGGGAGTTGTGTGGCCCAGTTGCCTCCTGCCGCTCCTGCTCCGTGCGTGGGTGGCCACGGAGCCTCCGGTAAAGTGCTTTTTGTTACTAGAAAAGAGTTATGGTCTGGTGGCTTGTAAGTGTGTGTGTGTGTGCACTTATGTTTGTAGGGTTGAGCTCACGCTCCTGGACCCAGCCTTTCAGGTATCTGTCGCCTGAGATATTGCTCCCGAGCCTCAAGTTATTTGTCGTGTTCACCTTCATTATCTTCGCTTATGGTCAACGCTACTTGGTGATCACTCTCACACTCGAGCCATGCTTTCTTCTGACCTCCCACTCGCCTGGGGCTCCCTGGGGCTCTTTGGAGGCTTCCTGCGGCTCCCTGGGGCTCTTTGGGGCTCCCTGGGGGCTTCCTGGGGCTCTCTGGGGCTCTCTGGGGCTTCCTGGGGCTCTCTGGGGCTCCCTGGGGCTCTCTGGGGCTCCCTGCGGCTCCCTGGGGCTCTCTGGGGCTCCCTGGGGCTCTCTGGGGCTCCCTGGGGCCGTTGTGCGTTGGGATTAGGTTTTTTCAGTGTCAGAGTAGTAGACAAATGGAATGCACTAGGAAGTAATGTGGTGGAGGCTGACTCCATACACAGCTTCAAGTGTAGATATGATAGAGCCCAGTAGGCTCAGGAACCTGTACACCTGTTGATTGACGGTTGAGAGGCGGGACCAAAGAGCCGGAGCTCAACCCCCGCAAGCACAACTAGGTGAGTACACACACACACATAAGCACACAAGGATCCGCCGGGAAATATTCACTGGCAGCGATATTTACCTGGTGGAGGGGAGGGCCTGAGGTGCACCCACTGGTGGAGGGGAGGGCCTGAGGTGCACCCACTGGTGGAGGGGAGGGCCTGAGGTGCACCCACTGGTGGAGGGGAGGGCCTGAGGTGCACCCACTGGTGGAGGGGAGGGCCTGAGGTGCACCCACTGGTGGAGGGGAGGGCCTGAGGTGCACCCACTGGTGGAGGGGAGGGCCTGAGGTGCACCCACTGGTGGAGGGGAGGGCCTGAGGTGCACCCACTGGTGGAGGGGAGGGCCTGAGGTGCACCCACTGGTGGAGGGGAGGGCCTGAGGTGCACCCACTGGTGGAGGGGAGGGCCTGAGGTGCACCCACTGGTGGAGGGGAGGGCCTGAGGTGCACCCACTGGTGGAGGGGAGGGCCTGAGGTGCACCCACTGGTGGAGGGGAGGGCCTGAGGTGCAGCCACTGGTGGAGGGGAGGGCCTGAGGTGCACCCACTGGTGGAGGGGAGGGCCTGAGGTGCAGCCACTGGTGGAGGGGAGGGCCTGAGGTGCACCCACTGGTGGAGGGGAGGGCCTGAGGTGCACCCACTGGTGGAGAGGAGGGCCTGAGGTGCACCCACTGGTGGAGGGGAGGGCCTGAGGTGCACCCACTGGTGGAGGGGAGGGCCTGAGGTGCACCCACTGGTGGAGGGGAGGGCCTGAGGTGCACCCACTGGTGGAGGGGAGGGCCTGAGGTGCACCCACTGGTGGAGGGGAGGGCCTGAGGTGCACCCACTGGTGGAGGGGAGGGCCTGAGGTGCACCCACTGGTGGAGGGGAGGGCCTGAGGTGCACCCACTGGTGGATGGGAGGGCCTGAGGTGCACCCACTGGTGGAGGGGAGGGCCTGAGGTGCACCCACCAGTTCACAGTTTCTTGGATCGCTTCCGGGCGCGGACGGGAATTTTGATAAAATCTGAAATGAAATATGGGATGTGTTGCCCGTAGAGTTGTGAAGTTAGACCAGCCGACTGGGTCCCAATTAACGACCTGAAAGCAAGCACCAGTATAAACAGCTATGATTTGTTCAGATCTAAAACATATATTAATGGGTAGCACAAAACGTGGACCAGACTGTATTCACCTAGTTGTGCTTGTGGGGGTTGAGCTCTGCTCTTTCGGCCCGCTTCTCAACTGTCAATCAACTGTTTCTACTACTGCTATTTTTTTTCTCCCCCCCCCCCACACACACACACACCAGGAAGCAGCCCGTGACAGCTGACTAACTCCCAGGTACCTATTTACTGCTAGGTAACAGGGGCATAGGGTGACAGAAACTCTGCCCCTCGTTTCTCACCGGTGGGCGAGAAACAACCATTGTGCGACACAGTGGTTGCCAGGATCAGGTTGGGTTACCGTTACCTGTGACAGGTGGCTGGAGGTGACTGGTCCCCCAATCCTGAGCACTCCAGGTGCAAACTCTGTGAGCAGGAACTGCGGCATGATCTCCCACACTACATCACCGAATGCCCAGTTATTAGACCATTCAGACCCGTTGGTATGAGGTACCCGCGGCTTTGCAATTACTATATTAACAACTCTCGTGTTCTTGATAATATCCTCATACTGCACCCAGAGTTTGGCAGGTCAGACTACTGACCACATGACCCTGTATGACTTACCTATGTGATGGGGACTTTTAGCATCACGTACCTAATTTTTGACACACTGTATTCCCCGTTGTTTAGTCTAATGCAGCTAGTTCTTGACACACTCTGTACTTCCTTTCATATATATATATATATATATATATATATATATATATATATATATATATATATATATATATATATATATTAGTTGATTTTATACCCGCATTAGGTCAGGTGATAATACAATGAAGGTGAAAACATGGGGTGATACATAAGGGATAAACATAGGGGCTGCAGAAGGCTTATTGGCCCATACGAGGCATCTCCTATCCAAACACAAAAATTAATCCAGTGTAATTGGCCTGTTATGTTGGACATTGTCTTCTGTGTTGGCATCGATATGTTCTTGTCTTGTCCTTACTATATATATATATATATATATATATATATATATATATATATATATATATATATATATATATATATATATATATATATATATATATATATATATACCCGGCCACGCGTTGCTATGGCTCAACAACGTATGTGCGTTGCTGAGCCACAGAACCTTCCCCCGTCCCCTCGTCACCCCCACTATTCCCCACTCCCTCGTCCGATGCCTTCCCAAATGATCTGATGTTCCCATCAGAAAATTGGGAACATCAAATGATCTGACGTTCCCTTCACTGAAATGTAAGGAAAAAAGTTCAAAAAACCAAATGAAAAAAATAAACAAATAAAAAATAGACTATACTCACGAAAGAACGGTATGGTAAACAACACAGTTCAATTCCAACACAATGTCACAAAAAAATAAATATATCAAAATGAAAATAAATCAAAATCTATAAAAATTTAATTTATCAATGCAATTGGAAACATTGAAAAGGAATTGTAACATATTTAGTATAGCGTGTGTTATAATATTGCTATTACGTGCAACAGATTAAAAAAATATTAACCTGTCACAGGTGCGATATGTATATAGTAGGTATATAAAAACACGCGCCTATTCGAATGCAACGTTGTGAAAATTTCAAAGCAATCGCTAAAGAGGTTTCGAAGATTTCCCTCACATGAAAAACACATGAAAAAATCAGTTTAAAAAAACAAAAAAAATTTTTACCCGTCACAGACGTGACACGTATATAGTATGTATCCGGTCGGATACAGCCGGTCGGCCGAGTGGACAGCACGCTGGACTTATGATCCTGTGGTCCCGGGTTCGATTCCGGGCGCCGGCGAGAAACAATGGGCAGAGTTTCTTTCACCCTATCCCCTTGTTACCTAGCAGTAAAATAGGTACCTGGGTGTTAGTCAGCTGTCACGGGCTGCTTCCTGGGGGTGGAAGCCTGGTCGAGGACCGGGCCGCGTGGACACTAAAGCCCCGAAATCATCTCGAGATAACCTCAAGATCTCAAGATAACCCGCTCGGATGCGAATGGAACATTGTGTGTGTGAACATTTCAAAGCAATCGATGAACAACTTTCGGGCATTAGCGATTTTGAACAAACGAATATTTACATTTCTATATATATAGATAACCAAAGAAAAACTCCAGACTAGCAAATAAATGAAATAAATGAATGAGGACGACGACACAGATGACCGAGGAAGTCGTTATAGCGTCATAGAGCCACAGCTGGTGGCTGTAACCATGTTGAAGGACTCGGACCACGACCCGCTGCAGGTGGTGCGACGGCACCCCTCCCTCTTCCCCCATCCCCAGCTGGTCTCCTCAGCCACCTGGCGCCTCCTGCCTGCGGATGATTGGGTTAAATTAACGAGGTTTAGCTGGTTAATTTGGTGGATAGAGTGGCTGCGTGTTAGCGGCCTTGACCACCGTGTTAACCTGCTCGGACCTTTGTCCTTGTTGACGGGAGTCTCCTGCTTCTCTCCCGCAGTCATCTACTTATTTTGATTTATATATTCATGAAATTTTATGTCTGTTTATCTGTTGGCCTCTGTTGGAGGGCAGACGTTTAGGGCTAGTCTCGTGCAACATTGCACGGGGGTCTGTTGTTGCATGGCCAGTGTGGGTGGTTTTGGACCATCCTTCTGTCCTTAAAGACCCCTCCCCCCCCTCCCCCTTCCCATTTTCCTTCTAAAAGGAATCCCCCGTATTTTGAATCCCTACGACTCCAGGGACGTATGAAACGTGTATTTAAATGAACATGCAGACGAGGAGTCACAATAGCGCGGCTGAACAATGTTGACCAGACCAGACACTAGAAGGTGAAGGGACGACGACGTTTCGGTCCGTCCTGGACCATTAAGTCGATTGAGAATGGTCCAGGACGGACCGAAACGTCGTCCCTTCACGCAGTTTGGTCAAGAAATAAACATGGTGTTAAAACAGATCTTACGGTTCATATCGGCGCTAAATTATATTCTAAATCTATACATCTGATTCACAGAGCACTGCCCTAAGGCTCTGAATGCCCCTAACGTAGCCCCAGGGATCGAGACCCGGCTGCTACGGTGGGGAAAGCAACCCGTTCTCGCAAATTCGTAAAGTCAATATTGACTTATTAACTACGTGCATAGGTGATATACTAAACATAATAGATACCCTTAAAAAGATTCATAGAAAACACCGACCTTACCTAACCTTGTTAGTATCTTAAGATAAGCATCTTATTGCTTCGTAATTACAATTATTACTTAACCTATACCTATTATAGGTTAGGTAATAATAGTAATTACGAAGCAATAAGATGTTTATCTTAACATACTAAGTAGGTTAGGTAAGGTCGGTGTTTTCTATGAAGCTTTTCAAGGGAAACTATTATGTTAAGTATGTCACCTATGCACATATTTAATAAGTCAATATAGACTTATTAAATTTGCGAGAACGGGTTGGGGAAAGATGTTGTTTGTTGCTAAAGATTCGCTACCTGGAACAAAGTTCCAAGTAGCACGGGCTATGGTGAGCCCGTAGTGGAGAAAGATGCTCACACTTGCAGTTTTAAAGCAAGTCTGTTTAAGTAGTAACATGTGAAAGGGATCGTAACTTATTAGAGAATAGCTTGTAGGCTATATTGACTCAGGTGTGGATGAGTGAGGTGGGTGAGTGAGGTGGATGAGTGAGGTGGATGCGTGAGGCGACCAGGTGAGGTAACAGAGGGAGGGAGGAAGGAGTAGGAAGGTAGAGCTGTAGCTCTCCAGACTGGCTCTTTGAGGCGACCAGGTGAGGTAACAGAGGGAGGGAGGAAGGAGTAGGAAGGTAGAGCTGTAGCTCTCCAGACTGGCTCTTTGAGGCGACCAGGTGAGGTAACAGAGGGAGGGAGGAAGGAGTAGGAAGGTAGAGCTGTAGCTCTCCAGACTGGCTCTTTGAGGGGTACAGATACCTTTGATTTTTAAGGTTTTCTCCCATATTCCTTTTCTTTCAATTGATTGGGAAGTGGAATTATTAATCAAAACTTGGTGAACCTGGTGAACCTGGTGGTCCTGGTGAACCTGGTGGTCCTGGTGAACCTGGTGGTCCTGGTGAACCTGGTGGTCCTGGTGAACCTGGTGGACCTGGTGAACCTGGTGAACCTGGTGATCCTGGTGGACCTGGTGGTCCTGGTGAACCTGGTGAACCTGGTGAACCTGGTGAACCTGGTGAACCTGGTGAGCCTGGTGGACCTGGTGAACCTGGTGAACCAGGTGGTCCTGGTGAACCTGGTGGTCCTGGTGAACCTGGTGGTCCTGGTGAACCTGGTGAACCTGGTGAACCTGGTGGTCCTGGTGAACCTGGTGGTCCTGGTGAACCTGGTGAACCAGGTGGTCCTGGTGGACCTGGTGATCCTGGTGAACCTGGTGGACCTGGTGGACCTGGTGAACCTGGTGACCCTGGTGATCCTGGTGAACCTGGTGGTCCTGGTGGACCTGGTGATCCTGGTGAACCTGGTGGACCTGGTGGACCTGGTGGACCTGGTGAACCTGGTGACCCTGGTGATCCTGGTGAACCTGGTGGTCCTGGTGAACCTGGTGGTCCTGGTGGACCTGGTGAACCTGGTGAACCTGGTGGTCCTGGTGGACCTGGTGAACCTGGTGAACCTGGTGAACCTGGTGGTCCTGGTGGACCTGGTGAACCTGGTGATCCTGGTGAACCTGGTGAACCTGGTGAACCTGGTGGTCCTGGTGATCCTGGTGAACCTGGTGACCCTGGTGAACCTGGTGATCCTGGTGAACCTGATGGTCCTGGTGGACCTGGTGAACCTGGTGAACCTGGTGAGTATGGTGGCCGTAGGTTATGTCTGGAGGTGGACTCACTATATAAGCTGACTCCATTATTTAGTATTATAATATTAAGGTTAGCAGTCTTTTCTCTGCCATTATTACGGCCGCGAAGTGAGGCATTAAATATGTACCCGGGTTTATTCCGCTGTCTGGAGAGAGCAGGAAAATATTTTCTCTAAGATTACCACTCACATAAAATTGTCCAGAAGTTGGAGAGGGCTCCGTGTCCCCCCCCCACCCCTGACACAGCTGGCAAGGGCTGGCCATTGACAGTTGGCAAGGGCTGGCCATTGACAGCTGGCAAGGGCTGGCCATTGACAGTTGGCAAGGGCTGGCCATTGACAGCTGGCAAGGGCTGGCCATTGACAGCTGGCAAGGGCTGGCCATTGACAGCTGGCAAGGGCTGGCCATTGACAGCTGGCAAGAGCTGGCCATTGACAGCTAGGAAGGGCTGGTCATTGACAGTTGGCAAGGGCTGGCCATTGACAGCTGGCAAGGGCTGGCCATTGACAGCTGGCAAGGGCTGGCCATTGACAGCTGGCAAGGGCTGGCCATTGACAACTGGCAAGGGCTGGCCATTGACAGCTGGCAAGGGCTGGCCATTGACAGCTGGCAAGGGCTGGCCATTGACAGCTGGCAAGGGCTGGCCATTGACAGCTGGCAAGGGCTGGCCATTGACAACTGGCAAGGGCTGGCCATTGACAGCTGGCAAGGGCTGGCCATTGACAGCTGGCAAGGAGGGCAGTTCGCCACCTCGTACACACTGTACGAGGAGTCATTAAAAGTATCTTAAGACTATAAACATTAAATTAATTGCTTTCTTCCCTGACTGCTTAATGTCATCGGCGCGTCTCCTGTGTTTACGACCCATTAACTTCCCCTTGTCAATGGTCACCAAATTTAGACCCGCACCCCACTCGACACCCATTAGTACTACCACGCGTGTGTACTCCCTCACATGGGTACTACCACTCGTGGGTATTATCCACATATGAGTACAGCCTTATATGGGTACTCCAGTACATGGGTACTCCCATACATATGTACTCACTCTCACAACTGAGTACTGCCTTGTGCATGTTTTTACAAAGATGGGCACTGCCCTAGACAGCTTCTTACAAAGATGGGCACTGCCCTAGACAGCTTCTTACAAAGATGAGTAGTGCCCTAGACAGCTTCTTACAAAGATGGGCACTGCCCTAGACAGCTTCTTACAAAGATGAGTACTACCCTGACAGCTTCTTACAAAGATGGGTACTACCCTAGACAGCTTCTTACAAAGATGGGTACTACCCTAGACAGCTTCTTACAAAGATGAGTACTACTATGGACAGCTTCTTACACTCATGGGTACTCAAGAGAGTACCCATGTGTGTAAGGTACCCATAATACCTGAGAGATAAACAGCCAGCAACAGCTGTCTATCTCTCAGGTATCCAGGTGAACAGAGGCATCAGGGGGAAAAAAACTGGGCCTTAAGATCTCCATCCTTTCGACCTCAGATTTTTTTCGAAGTCAGAAAAATATGTTAAGCATTACACATTTTTGGGCGAATTTTCTCTGTGCATATATTATTATAATACTTATGTTTAGCTTTGCTTAGTAGATAACAAAGTTTGTGACCAATGGAATCAATACTTTCAAACTTCTTATATAAGAATTCTGGGCTCGAGGAGCTCTTAGATACATAGACGAATATTATTACCCATTATATCTACGTCTAGAGAAATTAGATCAAAGAAATTAGAAATTAGATTTGATTAGAAATTAGAAATTAGATTTGATTAGAAATTAGAAATTAGATTTGATTAGAAATTAGAAATTAGATTTGATGATAAGATCAAATAGAGTCATGTAAGGTCATAATTGGTAGATGTAACACTTGGAGATAAGGATTTGGGATGGAACGAAGGAGAGAAATGTTGCCCAACCACTTGGACGGTCGGGGATTGAACGCCGACCGGCAAGAAGGGTGACCGTCGCTCTACCGTCCAGCCCAAGCGGTTAGGTCGTGAATCTGACCCTTGAGACGCACCACCTGCTGCCAGCTTCAGGTGTGGTCATGTTGTGTCTCGCATCATATGTTTCCTCAGTAGTCAATTGTTTGTTAAAATGTTTACAACTTGACCTGGTACATAGTTATGTTAGTCTTTGTTCCCAGTGGGTACTTCTTGCCCTGTTATCTCTGATGGTACTTCTTGCCCTGTTATCTCTGAGGGTATTACTTGCCCTGTTATCTCTGAGGGTACTTCTTGCCCTGTTATCTCCGAGGGTACTTCTTGCCCTGTTATCTCTGAGGGTACTTCTTGCCCTGTTATCTCTGAGGGTATTTCTTGCCCTGTTATCTCTGAGGGTATTACTTGCCCTGTTATCTCTGAGGGTACTTCTTGCCCTGTTATCTCCGAGGGTACTTCTTGCCCTGTTATCTCTGAGGGTACTTCTTGCCCTGTTATCATGAGGGTACTTCTTGCCCTGTTATCTCTGAGGGTATTTCTTGCCCTGTTATCTCTGAGGGTACTTCTTGCCCTGTTATCTCTGAGGGTACTTCTTGCCCTGTTATCTCTGAGGGTACTTCTTGCCCTGTTATCTCTGAGGGTATTACTTACCCTGTTATCTCTGAGGGTACTTCTTGCCCTGTTATCTCTGAGGGTATTTCTTGCCCTGTTATCTCTGAGGGTACTTCTTGCCCTGTTATCTCTGAGGGTATTTCTTGCCCTGTTATCTCTGAGGGTATTACTTGCCCTGTTATCTCTGAGGGTACTTCTTGCCCTGTTATCTCCGAGGGTACTTCTTGCCCTGTTATCTCTGAGGGTACTTCTTGCCCTGTTATCATGAGGGTACTTCTTGCCCTGTTATCTCTGAGGGTATTACTTGCCCTGTTATCTCTGAGGGTACTTCTTGCCCTGTTATCTCCGAGGGTACTTCTTGCCCTGTTATCTCTGAGGGTATTTCTTGCCCTGTTATCTCTGAGGGTACTTCTTGCCCTGTTATCTCTGAGGGTACTTCTTGCCCTGTTATCATGATGGTACTTCTTGCCCTGTTATCATGATGGTACTTCTTGCCCTGTTATCATGATGGTATTTCTTGCCCTGTTATCTCTGATGGTACTTCTTGCCCTGTTATCTCTGATAGTATTTCTTGCCCTGTTATCTCTGATAGTATTTCTTGCCCTGTTATCTCTGATGGTATTTCTTGCCCTGTTATCTCTGATGGTATTTCTTGCCCTGTTATCTCTGATGGTATTTCTTGCCCTGTTATCTCTGATGGTATTTCTTGCCCTGTTATCTCTGATGGTATTTCTTGCCCTGTTATCTCTGAGGGTATTCCTTGCTCTGTTATCTCTGATAGTATTTCTTGCCCTGTTATCTCTGATGGTATTTCTTGCCCTGTTATCTCTGAGGGTATTTCTTGCCCTGTTATCTCTGAGGGTATTTCTTGCCCTGTTATCTCTGGTGGTATTTCTTGCCCTGTTATCTCTGATAGTATTTCTTGCCCTGTTATCTCTGTTAGTATTTCTTGCCCTGTTATCTCTGATAGTATTTCTTGCCCTGTTATCTCTGATAGCATTTCTTGCCCTGTTATCTCTGATAGTATTTCTTGCCCTGTTATCTCTGATAGCATTTCTTGCCCTGTTATCTCTGATAGCATTTCTTGCCCTGTTATCTCTGATAGCATTTCTTGCCCTGTTATCCCTGATGGCATTTCTTGCCCTGTTATCTCTGATGGCATTTCTTGCCCTGTTATCCCTGATGGCATTTCTTGCCCTGTTATCTCTGATAGTATTTCTTGCCTTGTCATCTCTGATAGTATTTCTTGCCCTGTTATCCCTGATAGTATTTCTTGCCCTGTTATCCCTGTTGGTGATTGACTTTGTTCATTTATTATGCACCCAATACCCATCTCGACTATCCAACTTATATGCAAGTCTTAAGTGAGGATCAGAAAGTCTTATGACACTTATCTCTTGTCATATTTCCAGGCTTTTCTTGCAATAAAAGTGAAGAGTCTCTTAAGCTCTTAAGAGAACTCTTTTCTTAAGTTCTCTTTTCTCTTAAGTTCTTAACGTATAAAAGTTCTCAAGATGAGACGAGCACACTGCACGAACGTGTGAACTTACCAACTTGAAGTTCTTGAAGATGAACTTATAAGCCTCCTAAGAGGGAGCCGGTCGGCCGAGCGGACAGCACGCTGGACTTGTGATCCTGTGGTCCAGGGTTCGATCCCAGGCGCCGGCGAGAAACAATGGGCAGAGTTTCTTTCACCCTATGCCCCTGTTACCTAGCAGTAAAATAGGTACCTGGGTGTTAGTCAGCTGTCACGGGCTGCTTCCTGGGGGTGGAAGTCGCTAAAAGCCCCGAAATCATCTCAAGATAACCAAGCTTGACATAGTATCTCAGATGATAATAATGAACAAATAACGTACTAATGCAATAACTTTTATATATATATATATATATATATATATATATATATATATATATATATATATATATATATATATATATATATATATGTGTATATATATATATATATATATATAATCTTTCAAATTGTTCACTTGTTATATACAAGCTTGAGCCTTTTACTGAGGACGGGTCACTTATTTGAGCCACATATAGATTGTTTGACTCGCCTATTTGTGTCAGCAGTATGCATTTTCGGCAACAGGCATCCAGGTCAATTTATAAACTAGTCTATAAAATTCTTCTCCAAGTCGTTCCTTTGACCCACGTGAAAAAAACAAAATACAAACCTGAAACTAAAACTCAAGAATTTCACTCACCTCTCCAAGAAATCTTGTCCAGGACGAAGTCAACTCCGCCAACCGCTGCTCCCAGGCTCAAGCAAGTCCAATAAAAATAAACCAATAAATAAGAACCAATAAAAAATCAGTTTAACTAAGGAGCAGCATATTTATTGGTGGGTTGGGGGAGTGGGAGGAGTCTTGTGTGACGGAGCAACCCATCCTGATCCTTGTCTCAGGTAATTGGCGCCAGTTACTGCACACTCCGGGTAAGTTGTCCGCTTAACTCTTAGAGTGTTTGCTGTGCTCCTGGGCCCCGCCTCCCATCTTGTGATCATCTTGGGTGATAGCGGGACGCTGAATAGGCAGGGGGGGGGGAGTATGTGCCATGGGGGGTGGGAGGGGGATGTTGCTCCCACTAATGGCCACCTACTCCCATCCCTCGCTGCACGGACCACCTCCCATAGTAACCAGCACAGTGGTGGGGTCCGTGACCACCTCCCATCCCAGGAACCTGCTGAAACTGCAAGCAAGAGTTGTAATCGTGCCTCAGCGCCTCAGCTCAGTTGAAACATACTCCTAGAGGCCCAGTTACTTCATGAGCTTGTTATATGCATCAGTTGGAAGTCACTATTCATTAACAACATCAGGTAACAATGATATAAGGAAGAGGATGAGCCCGGAGCCAACTGTGTGCCAGAGCCTTCATGTGGTCAGGTGACCTGATCTCCCGTGTAGCAACCTGTTGAGCCAACATGTTCCTGATGCGAGTCTTTCTCTCTCTCTGTCTCTCTGTCTCTCTCTCTCTCTCTCTCTCTCTCTCTCTCTCTCTCTCTCTCTCTCTCTCTCTCTCTCTCTCTCTCTCTCTCTCTCTCTCTCTCTCTCTCTCTCTCTCTCTCTCTCTCTCTCTCCCTTCCCTTCCTCACATGCCTTCCTCTGTGTTATGATGGGCCTTACCCAGAGGAGGAGAGCCTGCGCCCGCACGCCCACGCCAGGGCCTTCTGCTCTCCGTCAATACCCACACTTTCAATTGAACATGATTCTATAGCTGTCAGAGAGCTCGATGATTCCTTCCCAGGCGGGCCGAGGGGCTCCTCTCCCAGCCTGACCCGCCAGCCTCTCCCAGCACCCTCACCACCTCTCCCTGGGTGTCCCTCACTCCTAACACACAACTCTCCGCCCTCACAAATCTTTTCATATGCGGAAAGAACGAACGAACAGCAGCAGTTTTAAATCGATGAGATTCACTTGAGCTGAGTGGCTTGGGGGTAGGGGGGAGGGGTAGGGGGAGGGGTGGGGGGGAGAGGGGGGGGGACGGCTGAGAGGTTACATGAGTTTGTTGTCTATCGCCCCTCCCCTCCCCCCCCCACCCCCTCCACGAAGAAGAGAAGCAGATAATGGGACAGACAAGAGATACTTTTGCCTGAGTGCGTTTATGTGTGTGTCTGTTTGTATTTACTATTTGTGCCGGCAGGATAGAGGGTGTTAGCTCTTGGGCCCCGCCTTTCTTAATATCGGTTGTGCAATAAGTCCCGACTTCTTTTTTTTCTCCTTTATATCTATTACATATGTTTCACACTGACACACACATCCCCAGGAAGCAGCCCGTAGCAGCTGTCTACCTTCCAGGTAACTATTTACTGCTAGGTGAACAGGTGCATCAGGGTGAATGAAACTCTGCCCATTTGTTTTTGCCATCGCCGGGGATCGATCCCCGGGCCATAGGATTACGTGTCCACAGCACTGTCCACTCAGCCACCAGGCCCCATATGTGTGTGTGTTAGTGTTTCCGCGTGCGCATGCGTGTGTACTTACCTATTAGTGTGTACAGGGGAATGAGGTCTAGCTCTTTATGCTCCGCCTCAACCCTCCCAATGCATCCGTGTCCAGGTTCCTGAAGACTGTTCTAATGTTTGGCTGCTTAGCAAATGATGTGATTCACTGGTGTATATATGTGTATATGTGTGTATATATGTGTGTATATATGTGAGCCTCCGACGGCGAGCGTGATGTTACATCACTCCCACATCTCTCTTTTGTTGGATGTTCACGAAACATTTAGACACTTGTGATTCAGTGGCTTTATATCTTTTTGAGACTAAAATATTAAAGAGTCTACTTCAGGTGTGTCAGCTACACGTGGTAAGGAGAGTACAGGTCGGCGCAGGTCCTTGTGAGACGCTCTTTCCTTCCTTAAAAGAAAATATCCTGACTTTCTTCCTCTGACCAAACGTGTCAGAGGAAGTAAGTTACTTTGTTTACTCTTCCAAATGTGTTCTATCGTCACCTCTTTATTAACACTGCGTAAAAAAGATCATTCCTGGTTAATAGAGCTATTTTCTGATTACTTATGTCTCCAGAGTATAGAAAATGGGAAAGTGAAGGCCTGTTGACTTCGGAAACAACGTGTCATAAGGTAAGGAGTCAGAGCCTTCAAGTTGGACCTTCAAGACGACTTCTCTAACCTGTCTTTAGCAAAGGTCAAAGCCAAATTTGAGCTGAATAATGACAAATTTCTATTCCTTGAAGACGTAATCAGAAAATAACGGATAATACGCTGGAACCAAAATTGTTACATTGTGTAATCTGCCAATAAATCCGCCTTGTTCCTTCAGTTAAGACTGACGCATCTAGCACAGGAGCACATCAACAAGGGCTTTGGAAATGTTGAAGGATGAAGTCCACGAATTGCCTCAGCTCGTTCATTGTGGCCGAGAACTCTATTATCTGAGGAAGGCAGCACACAGTGACTCAAGGTTGATCTCTCTGAAGTTAGTTTACACTAATGTCACATTATCTTCATCCTTAATAATGGCTGCATCGTCTGGGAGATCATTATCGCTACAGGTCCCGGCCTGTAGCCAAGTTGTTCTTGGCTGTATAATAGAAGGTACTGTATAATAGAAGGTACTGTATAATAGAAGGTACTGTATAATAGAAGGTACTGTATACTGCAGTAGAGTTTGGGACGCTCCAACTTGGTAACATCACCACCAAGGACAGTGTTGAGGCTGGTGTAGCGTGGTGGTGGTCGTCTACCTCAGGACATCAACACTATCTCTCAGGACCCCCGTGGAGACATTATGTCAGTCGCGTAGTCTCTGTGTGGTGGGGGGGGGGGACATGGTATACAGTAGTGGTGTGGAAGGCAGGTGTGGGAGGCAGGTGTGGGAGGCAAGTGTGGGAGGCAGGCGTGGGAAGCAGGTGTGGGAGGCAGGTATGGGAGGCAGGTGTGGGAGGTAGGTGTGGGAGGCAGGTGTGGGAGGCAGGTGTGGGA